GGCTGCGCGAGTCCCCCCCGCTGGGGGAGTACGCCTGCCACGTCCACCTGCGCTTCTTCCTCTGCTCCCTCTACGCGCCCATGTGCACCGACAAGGTGAGCACCAGCATCCCCGCCTGCCGCCCCATGTGCGAGCAGGCCCGCCACAAGTGCGTCCCCATTATGGAGCAGTTCAACTTTGGCTGGCCGGAGTCGCTCGACTGCGGCAAGCTGCCCACCAAGAACGACCCCAACGCTCTCTGCATGGAGGCCCCTGAGAACGCCTCTGCCAGCGAGCCCCACAAGGGCCAGGGCATGCTGCCCGTGGCCCCCCGGCCCTGGCCAGCAGGCACTGCCGAGGGTCGGGGACCCAACGGCCTGGGGGCCTGCGACAACCCCGAGAAGTTCCAGTACGTGGAGAAGAGCCTCTCCTGTGCACCCAAGTGCTCCCCCGGGGTGGACGTCTTCTGGTCCCGGGAAGACAAAGACTTTGCCTTCATCTGGATGGCTGTGTGGTCGACCTTGTGCTTCGTCTCCACCGCCTTCACGGTGCTCACCTTCCTGCTCGACCCACATCGCTTCCAGTACCCTGAGAGACCCATCATCTTCCTCTCCATGTGCTACAACGTATACTCTGTGGCCTTCATCATCCGCTCGGTGGCAGGGGCCGAGAACATCGCCTGTGACCGGGAGAATGGGGAGCTGTATATCATCCAGGAGGGGCTGGAGAGCACGGGCTGCACCATCGTGTTCCTCATCCTCTACTACTTTGGCATGGCCAGCTCGCTCTGGTGGGTCATCCTGACTCTCACTTGGTTCCTAGCTGCTGGGAAGAAGTGGGGACATGAGGCTATTGAAGCCCACAGCAGCTACTTCCATATGGCTGCCTGGGGCATCCCAGCCATGAAAACCATAGTCATCCTTACCATGAGGAAGGTGGCAGGGGACGAGCTCACGGGGCTGTGCTATGTGGGGAGTATGGATGTCAGTGCCCTGACGGGCTTTGTCCTCATCCCGCTCTCCTGCTACCTGGTCATCGGCACCTCCTTCATCCTTACGGGCTTTGTTGCCCTCTTCCACATCCGGAAGATCATGAAGACGGGAGGCACCAATACGGAGAAGCTGGAGAAGCTGATGGTGAAGATCGGGGTCTTCTCTATTCTCTACACTGTCCCGGCCACCTGTGTCATCGTCTGCTACTTCTACGAGCGGCTGAACATGGATTACTGGAACCTTAGGGCCCTGGAGCGTGGCTGCGTGCCCCTACCTGGCAGGCGTGCCGCCAACTGCTCCTTGGAGGCCTCAGTGCCCACTGTGGCTGTCTTTATGCTAAAGATTTTCATGTCCCTGGTGGTGGGTATCACCAGCGGAGTGTGGGTATGGAGCTCCAAGACGCTGCAGACCTGGCAGAGCCTGTGCAACAGAAAGCTGGGCATGAGGACTAGGGGGAAGCCGTGCAGTGGGGTCAGCTGCAGCGGGGTGCACTGTCACTACAAAGCCCCGACAGTCATGCTGCATATGACCAAAACAGACCCTTATCTGGATAACCCAACGCACGTCTAGAGTGGGGTCTGCCTCTCCCTGGGGACGACGCACCAGGAGAGCAAGTGTCACGGGTAAGGGACTAGGAGAGTGTGGCGAGAGCCTCCTGGGACTATGGAGCAACCTCAACCATTGGGGTCTGCTCTGGAGTGGGGCTGGCCCATGGCAAGGGGCTGCTGCGAGGTGCAGGGAAGGGGCGAGAGCAGAGACTGATCGGCAGAAGGGTGAACGCACACTGGTTTGGGGGTTACGAGCCCCGCGGGACCCGAAGGGAGCTCCCCCGGCACCGCTCGACCCTGACAAGTAGCTGCTTTTTCCTAGAGGTTGTTTTGTTGTTGTTGCTGTTGCCAAATTCAGTTTCTGTTTTAATGCTTTCTTTTGGGGGATGGTGGGGGGGACGGAGGGGGACGGGGCAGGAAGGGGAATAATCCAGTTCGTGTTTATTTAATTCTGTAATTTATTTTAGATTTTTTTTTTTTAATCACTAGCTGCAAGGAATGGAAAAAACAATAAACCCTGGATGTGTTATTTCAACTGAGCCTCGTGCTGTTTGGAGGAATTTGAGGGGGTTGAGAAGAGCCACGCAGGTGCTCCCCCAACTCAAAGGATGCTGCACCAGGGGGAGCAAGGCAGACGGGTTCGGGGCTGTGCTGGCCGTGGTCTCTAGGAAGGGCAGCAGTAAGGGGCACGCACCAGTCGGGCTCTTCCCAGTTTGGGGTGCTTTCGTGCCAATGCAGGATGAGGAGGGGACCAGGGGAGTGTGTCCCCTCTGCTGGGTGTCAGGACTGGCGGTGCGGTGCTGTCCTCCTCTTCCAGGGTCTCCGGTCCGTGCTCTGTGCCCTAGGCAGAGCTGAGCTGGCAGAGGAAAAAACCTAGGGGATTCCCTGCGCCCCACACCTTTTGTGCCCAGGGTGGCTTTCCCCTCGTGCTGTGGCCTGCTGGCTTCTTGCAGCGGGTGCTGGTGCCAGTGGCACGTGCTCTCAGGAGGGTTCCCGCAGCTGCGAGCTGACACGGGCCCCGGGGCTGCGTAGCTGCGGGGGCCAGCACTGGTCCGTGAGGTGCTTGGTGCCCAGGAGCCAGCCTCAGCCCGGGGCTCCCTCCCCATCAGCTTGGCCCATTCAGCTCCGTGGTTTCCCCGGTGCTAGTTTTGGCACCCGGCTCACCCCCCCGCCTCCCCCGGCTGCAGGAGGCAGGGCTTTTCATGCTGAGTGTCAAGCTAATGAATAATCTTTTCCACTCTGCTCTCTGTAGGCAATTTGTGTTGGTACCTTGTGTTGCTGGGGGCCTCGGTGCCCCTCGCCAGACAGAGGGGCCCAGCACTTGGACACCAAATGGAGAGCGAGCAGGACGGTCCCAGCGGGGCAGTGGGCGAGGCAGGACAGTGTCCAGGGAGCATGTCGCAGGCCAGGAGCTGGGGTGACGGGCTGAGCAGTGCTGGTCCTTGATGGAGAGAGAGGGCTCAGCTCTCAGCTTTGATGCCTCAAACAGAGGCCTGAGGTGCGGGTAATGGAAACTTCTGGGCAGCTTTATTTATCCCCTGCTCCGGTTACAATCCCATCTTGCCTTCCCCATTGTCCGGAGGGAAACTCAAGCCTCAGCTGGTGCTTCCCGGGGCGGGCAGGGAGGGAGCCAGGGCT